GCCCCTCCCCCCCCGCGTGCCCTCGGAGCCGTCGGCCCCCAGCGCCATGGCTTCCCTCTCCTCCAAAGCCGTGTCCGACACACTTCAGCCCAGCTGCCGCCTCCGCTCTGAAAGCCTTCCCGGACAGGCCTCTAGCCCCAGCTGATCCCTCACTGAATTCCTCGCCCGCAAGGCCCCGGCCAACTCGTCTGTCATGTTTCATTGACCGCCCCGGAGTGTCAGCTCCGCGGCTAATCTCTCCGGCGCTGCTGTAAGCTCCTGGAGGATCAGGGAGTAAGTTTCACACTTGTGTTCTCGCCACACTCCACAGTAAAGAGAAACTGCTTTCCGCGCGGCTGCCCCCCGCTGACTGTGGCCGGGCTGCGGAAAGCCTAGCGCTGGGCTGGGAGCGTCGGGCAGGTTCCGCCTGGAAGTGCGGTCTGCGCGCGCCCCTTGCCTTTCGTTCCGCGGGAGTCACGAGGCCCTTTGCGTTCCCGTCGGCAGCTTTGTGTGCCCGCCGGACCCCGGAGCGAGCGCGACCCACGCGGCCGGACAGGTTGGGTCCTGGGAACCACTCGAAATCAATAATTCGGAGTGTGGTTAAGAAACAAGACCAGCTTTCTTTATCTCTCATCCCCCCCCTCCCCATTTATCTTCCTTCAGGCTATCACTTCGTTTATAAACTTCCAATAGGCGATAACGTTCTCTTTCTTTGTCATTATAAAGACACCTTCGTGAGGAGATGCACCCTGAAGCCGCAGGTCAGCGCCACCAAAAGCCAGACCTGCGGGGCCTGGCGGAGCCGGGGGAGGTCACCGGGGCTCCCCTAGCGAATCGGAATTGCGGCTCCGCGCCGAACCCAGGCAGCCCTGGGAAGCCGCCCTCCCTGCCAGGAGCCCGGCCGGCGAGGCGAGTGCGCCTCGTTCCACGGAGCTGAGTGAGCGCCTCGCGCCTGGNTTCTCTTTCTTTGTCATTATAAAGACACCTTCGTGAGGAGATGCACCCTGAAGTCGCAGGTCAGCGCCACCAAAAGCCAGACCTGCGGGGCCTGGCGGAGCCGGGGGAGGTCACCGGGGCTCCCCTAGCGAATCGGAATTGCGGCTCCGCGCCGAACCCAGGCAGCCCTGGGAAGCCGCCCTCCCTGCCAGGAGCCCGGCCGGCGAGGCGAGTGCGCCTCGTTCCACGGAGCTGAGTGAGCGCCTCGCGCCTGGCGCCACTGACAGAAGGATTGCATTAGGAAAAGCACGCGAAGCCTGCTTCACAAGGCGCCGCCACAGCAGACGTTCACGTGGGCCCAGCCCATTGCTAAGCACTTCTCCTATATGTACTTGCTCAGTTCTTACAACATCACAGGGAGATAGACACTCCAATTCTACCAGCCAGTCTCAGAAGATTGTTGTTCCTCGCCTGAAGTCCCACATCTGGTATTTGAAAAGCTAGGCTATGAATCCACTTAACTCTAAAACCTGTGCCTCTNGCCTGAAGTCCCACATCTGGTATTTGAAAAGCTAGGCTATGAATCCACTTGACTCTAAAACCTGTGCCTCTGATCCCCACCCTTACTCCATACCTGTTGCGTGAAATACAGCATTAGGTCTGATAGCATGTAAGATTTCACTGGGATTAAGATTCATGTGTTTGGCACAAAATCAACATCAATGCATTTTTAATAGCTATCTGTTTTTCACTGAAAAGTGCATCATTTCATCTCATTATAGATTCTTTTGAAAAGCAGTGAAAACTTTTATGCACAATGGATAAATAATACGTATTTGAGTCAAAAGAAGGATAATACCCTGAATCTATAACTGGGTAGACAATTTTTTTTAACTTTCTTTTTATTGTGGTGAAATACACATACCATAATTTAACATTCATTTTAAAGTGGGTGAAAATAAAGAACAATTCAGTGTCATTAAGTATATTCACAATGTTAGGCAACCATTACTAGTTCCAGAACATTTTTACTACCCCAAACCAAAACCCCATACCCATTGAGCAGTCACTCCCCATTAAACCCCTTACTCCCCTTAGCTCACAATATCCACCAATCTGCTTTCTGTCTCTATGGATTAGACTATTCTATTTGATATAAATGAAACCATACAATACATAACATAATGTTTCCAGGCTTCATCCACCTTGTAGTATATATCTGTACTGCATTGTTTTTTGTAGCTGAATAGTATTCCACTGTCTGGATATATCACAATTTGTTTTCCATTCATCCATTGATGGGCATTTGGGTTGATTCCACCTTCTGCCTATTGTGACTAGAGCTGCTATGAACATTCACATATAGGTTATTTTTTAAACACCAATTTTCAATTATTTTGTGCATATATCTAGAAGTATAATTGCTGGGTCATATGGTAATTTTACATTTAACTTACTGAGGAACCACCAAACTGTTTTTCCACAATGGCTGCACAGCTTTATGTTCCCACCAACAATGTATAAAATTCCAATTTCTCTGCATTCCCACCAACACTTGTTTTCCTTTAAAAAAATTTTTCCTTAAAAAAAATTGCTCTTTAAGGCCATACTAGTGGGTGTGAAATGATATCTCATTGTAGTTTTGGTTTGCATTTCTCCAATGACTAATGGCATTGATCACCTTTTCATGTGCTTGTTGGATACTTGTTTATCTTCTTTGTAGAAATGTCTAAGTTCTTTGTCCATCTTTCATTTTGTTTTTGTCTTTTTGTTGTTGAGTTGTAAGTGTTCTTTACTAGCAGGCAATTTTTAAAAACAGGAAATTGCACTTTTTCACAAGTGTACATAGGGAGTTCTTTCATGTATTAGTTATTTTCTGAAATGACAGAAATGTGTGAAACATTGAATATTACATGTGTAACTCAGGAAGGTAAATTAAAAATCTGTAATACTACCTGAATAAAAATGTACAAAGCAATCAACAGTGTTTCTCCTGTGCAATTCTATGTTCAAACATTTAAAAGTGATGTCTGTTCTGCAGATATACGTAATGAAGTCTGCTGAGGATGAAGTATATTAGAATATAGAAACACATAATTTTCTCCATATCATTATTGTATAGTTGAAATACTGGAAGAAATATACAAATTAATAAGGTATTTAAATCATACCTATCACTTCAATTTTTAAAATGTATTTCTAACTTCTGTTGAAAAGGGAAAAAAATGTATTGAGTTTCTTAGTCCTTATGTTTGTTTCCAGAAAGAATACAGTTTTTATACGTTTATGTCTTTACCAATTTGATATAATCTTTATTTAGTCAGCAGAATTTAATTATTAGATTTTAAACCACTGTTAGGTATCGGTGTGACCTTAAATATCATAGATTTCTTTTATATCATTTAAAATTTACCTTATTTTTAGGGTTTTGACATATCCTAGGACTTTAAATAAAGAATAGCCTACTGCCCACTCCTTTAACACTGAAAAGAATCCCACAAGCTAGAATATGACAATGTGACAACTGAATCAGCAGCAGCCATATCATGTCAGTCTAGTGTGGACAAATCTGACTGGGAGTTTCCTGCATGTGATCTTGAACTGCCCCCATATGCAGAAAGAAGGAAGAGACCTAAGGAAAAAGGCAGACTGCTCCATATTGGTTTAATAAACAAGGTAAATTTACTTAAGAGGCTTGCCTTTGCTGGCAGAAAGAGCAGTAATTTTCTGCACCCAACAACCAAATCTGGAGTTTGTATAGAGGCTTTCACAGGGTTCCATCAGGTACCCAGCCCAGATGGTCTCATGACCACAGCACTCTCTCAAGGCCCTGTTCTTGGGCAGCTTCTAGCTCAGGAAAGGCAAACTGCGTGCAGAGCGGAGGGAGTGTGGATCCTCCAACTGTCCAGGTCCAGCCCGTGGGTCAAACTGGTGGTCATGTCTTCCCAATGATCTTCCCCAACATAGTCAAAGCAAAGCAAGAAAATTGTTTTGTGCTAACAATTACTGCAATTTTGTTTGAGTGATTCTTGGCAACTACTGATCAGGGGAGTGCTCTAGGTCACACTCGTAGGCATCCAAGGATGACATCATCCTTTTCAGCTGTCCCTTGTGGCTTTCACACAGTTCAAAATTGACGACTTTATAGTGCTATGACAACAGAATTTCATTTTCTATTTTCATCTTCAATAATTATATTAAGGTCCAAAACTGTTTAAATAATGATATTTTATTTCTAATTAGAGGCTTTTCTAAAATTATCTCCATTGAATCTCCCAGTGTACCTCTTGTTCTGAAAAAAATAACCCGTATGCTTTAGGTTTGAGTACCTTTTATCAGCTTGCTTAGTTTAGCAAAGTTTTGTCAACTGATGGTCACTGGCACCAAGTCAACGCAAACAGGAATCCTCAATTTGGCATGCAGTGAAGAAAGAAACTTCATTCAGCGCAAAACAGCTCAATTGTGATACAACAGGGCTGTGAAAACAGCACAGCTGTGAGCCAACCTTGGGTCCAGGCCCCTTTCCAGCAACACAGATCTGCTGTCCCACCTGCCACCTTGAGGGCTTCAGGTGAGCAAGAGAAGAACGCAGCCCCCACACAAAAGGAAAGTGTGCAATCTGAAGGGAAAGCAGCTAGCTGGCTTATATGGACAGAAGTCCCCACCCCTGATCCCTGATTGGCCAGTTCTCATGCAAATACGGACTCCTAAACCTTGCAATTTGATTGGTCCAGAAGGCACTGTACTGATTGGTCAGCATAGAGCACTCTGATTGGCTGGAGCTGTGCAGCTCCAGTTGGATGGGGAAAGCCCCAGTCCAATTGGTTGAATAGGATTCCAGGAGCTCCTTTATAAGGGGCGGGCTCCGCGCAGGCAGGCAGTCCAGCACCGGCTTTCCCGGGAAGCGGTTGGAGTGAGAGACTCCTGTGCAGAAGTGGCCACTAGGCTCTGGTGTTCTGTGGTTTTTTTACTTTGAGCCCTTCTTCGTAGTTATCTTTTTTTCCTCGGGGGCCACAGTTTGAAAT